TCTCCTGCTCCGTTCTCCAAACTCTTGAGACCACTGTGCTCTGGGGTATCTTGGTGGCATTTTTCAAGGAGAAACAGGCCAGAAATAGCCCATTGCTTAAAGTTAAGAAGGGAAAATAAAGACCAGGAACCACAAAGCCTGTGGAAACCAGATTTGACAAAGAAATCTACACCACGCTTTCACAATGAGACCTTGTAAGTGAAATGAGTGGGGCGCCCATGCAACTGAAATGATAACGATTTGCCTAGAGATGCAGAGAGCATCCCCCAGATTTTTAGCTCCAGTTCCCAGCTTCCCTTCCTGACTGTTAAGGAAGCATGAGGAAGTTCATCCTAGAAAGAAAGGCAGCACTGTGGACTGCCCAAGATGCACATTCCCCAAAGCAACAATCCCTTGCCATGTTGTTTCTTGACAATGGCCTCACAAAACCCTTGTTTAGGGTTCAAGTCATGCCAATACGAGAGAGACACAATAAATGACAAGTCCAAAGAGAAGTTGCAGTGCACAGTATTGTCAGCTCTTCTTAACTTGGATAAATTCAGAACATGGATGAGTATTTAGTGGCCTTTTTAGCGCAAGAGCTGTTTTTCAGCGTTACTCATCCAAGTGGTTGCTGTAGCTACAGCATAACCCTGAGAATTGGCAGAGAGGGAGTCGTGTGCTCTACCACGTTCCTTGGCCCCTATGAACGTTTGTATGCCCAAATCTTTAGGTGTTATCTGGGAAGATCTGTGAATGTTTGTGCAGAAATTTCATTGCTCATCCCAAGCAGAGATTATCAACCTTAAACTTCTGGATTGATCTTGTTTAAATGCATGCCTGTGCCCTCAGATAGCTTATCACCCAAATGAATGTTTGATTTTTCACTTGAATCCCGCATTTTGATAGGCAGTAACATCATGCATGAGAAGGCAATCCATACAATAAATCTTATTAGGATTTCAGAAGTACAGATTTTAGGTCATATATTTATATAGGTGCTAGCTGTTGTAAACCATGCTTGACACGAGGGGAAGTTTGTTCAGGGAGCCAGTTCACTGGAAAATCAACAAGGTCAGAGTTGCTCTGGCGCTGAGGTTTGGGATGAGTCAGGGTTGACATTTCAAGTTGAAAAAGAGCTTGGAATTTCGAACCCAGTTAAGAGCATACTTGATAGATGATTTTGGGAAGGACAGATTCGGTTTCCGAATTGACACGCAGTGTTAAAACTAAGAACAGCTTGCCTGAATTCAGGAAAATGACTAATACAGAGAAAACCTGAACTTATTTGGGAGGAAGGAATCAGTGTAGGGAATGAGTGCTCAACGCTGTAAGTATCCTGCGTGGAAAACAAGGAAAGGGGGACCGGCATTGGGTGGTTGGCAGTGAATGTATTATTACTGCAGAACCACCATGGAAATCACTCAGCTCATATATGAATCAGGAGCTAAGAGGTGAAATAAGAAGAAATATTAATTTTAGATCCCATTCCTCCCACTGTTCCTGACTGTTGAATGGGTTGTCACATCGCAGACAGGATGCGATTGCCATGGAGATGGATACGAGAACTTTTCCTGGAATTTAGATTCTGCTGCGTTAATATTTCTTTTCTGTGCTTCCATGAAAAGAAATGATTATCTAAAGGCTAGTTATGAAGGATGTATTAACAATAAATATCGTTATATAGGGTGATTTTTATGGTGTTCCTGTTACGCTTTATACTGTGTACCAGGTCTAAGGGCCTTCCCTGCTGCTATAGAGGGAAGCTGTAGTAGATCAAGGGCCTGATCATCACCCATCAGAGCTTAGGCCAGTGCTTGTAGGGTGATCATTCTTGTCTTATTCCTTCTTGTAACAGTTATATACACTGTATTTTTATCTAAGGACTGTGAATATAATTCATATGTATGGTCTTTAGAAAATCAAAAAGCCTGCAACTTGTATTGTTAGTCTTCAGGTGAAAATTGCTCTTTTCATTATACTTTACATGCTATAATTATATATGAGAAGGTTTTTTCAGCCTTGGGGATAGATGGCCTCTGCTTTTAACAGCTGTTAAAATATCTGTTAAGCTAGGGATTTTCATACAGATAATGCTTCAGGAGATACATACAGTGATCTAAAGTAGTATGACCGTGTTAGAATAAGGTAACAGACGCTTCTAATACCTTCACTTCTTCCATTGCAAATTCTGTTTCTGTAGCTGAGCTTGTGTAGCTCTGTCCAAAAGTTGATATTGTCAGAGCTGTCAGATTCTCCATAGCAATTCTTCACTGTCAGGTTTGGCATACTGCAAAAACTTGTTGCCCCAAGACTTGGTCAAGAGGCATACAAGTAATCCTGTTCTATTAAATGGCATTTGTTGACTGGCTGCAACTTGCGTATGTAGTGGAAGGGGTTAATGGTGGTCCCTGTGCTGGGGGAATGCAGAAATTGTTCCTTCCTGGAATATAGCAGGCACATGGATTATGTTAATGGGCAAGAAGGAGATTGCTGTCCCTTTCTGCTGCCCTGTAGAGCTGATTATTGCCAGTAGTGCCGGAAAGAAGAATTGCGCTAGGAAACAGAACCTCTCCTGGGACTTAGGAGATTGAAAAAGATTTTCCTTTCATTTCTGAAGCCTCAATAGGCTGATGACTGAGATAAGCAGTGCTTGTGCTGAAGGATGGAGGAGGAACAGTTGCCAGTGCAGAAAAACACAGAACCTGTATGTATTGCCAAATTCCAGAAGGATTCTATCAAAGCCAAGCCACAAAATGATAGAGATGAATACCTGTTGTGCTCAGTGGCATATCCCACTCTGATTACTGCTGAGGGTAGAGCACTAGGCCTAATATAGCAACGATTTTGTCTTTAGCCAAGTTCTGCATCGTTCTGACCCTTGCACCTCCGTATCCACTCTGAGGGTATTTTTGCTCCACTCAGAACTTGAACACTGCTCCCTCCTGTTCCCTGCAGCAGAGCGTTTCCTTCATCCAGCTCCCCATCAAAGACAGCGGACTGTAAGGAAGGACTGCTGCCAGCAGCACAGACCTGCTGAAGGTGGGTTGCTGCAGGTTTGGAAGTGAGGATCTCCTTTCCTATAGCTGAATGAACAGTTCTCCTAACTTCCCCACCTGCCAACAAGAAGACCTGTATTCCTAGATCAGCAGATCCGGACTCCACTCAGAGCTGGAGAGCTGAGCTTCCTGGCACACTTGCTCTTGGTGTTCTTGCCTAGGTTGAGCACTGTATATCACAGATGCTTGACGGTTCATTATTCCAGAGGAAAGGAGGGTGTTCCTATGACTCTCAGTGAAAACAGTAGTATTTCAGTTCTCACCTATATGAATCTTACTGGAACTGGGCTTGTGTTTATTTGTTTTCATGAAAGCTGAAGGGATCATTGGGCTGAATTCTCCTTATTAGTGTCAGAATGATGACCGTGATTTCAAGGTTATGTTTCATACATGTACCCATCATTTGCTGATAATAGATGAAGGAATGTACTTCAGTATGCTAAAATTTGCTTGTACTAAAGTAGAAGGAGGATAGTTGTTACTTCAGGTATTGACATTTGGTTTTCATCTAAAAATGCCACTAGGATCTAAAGCCGGTCTGAAGTAATGGATGATGCCTGGTTCTGTAACAAACTGGCTTTTGCTTTGCACATGCTTGCCACCACAGTGATTTTTGCTATTTGTGCCTTGTTATGTGTAAGAAGCACTTTCTTCCTCTGTGTGTCACGATTTAGCCCAAAGTCATCTGTGTAGATCTACAAATAAGTAAGGCCATTAATCATATTCTTCCTGTTGACAACAATCTGTGCTTATGAGCCATCACCCATAGTTGTTCTACATCTTGGTTTTGGGGGTTTTGTTGGGGTTTTGTTTTTGTAACCAGTGCTGTGTGTAGAACTGTTCAGACCTATTGTCATCTATGCAAAGGTTTCTCATTTCCTGCTAGGTCAAAGGGTTAGGAAAACCTGGGCACTGAATGAAATTTGATGGCATTATTTCTTGTATAATATGTATAATATGAAGACTTTCAGTTTGATGGTCTTCATTACTGTTCATCACAGTGTGATGTACCTAGCAATAAGCTTTCCTGGTTACTGGAAGAGCCTTGCCTTTAAGTCCCACAGTGCATCAGAGTTGGAATAAAGTGGTCAGTATCTGACCCTTCTGGTCCTTTTAATCATGCCTACTGTAAAGCTTCATTGTCATGGGTTTAGGTAGATCCATGCTTAGGGCTTGCCTTTGGCTAATGAATCTCAATACCGTAACTATCATAAGGAAATTAAAGGTCATGTTTTCTTGCACATCTTAGAGGGGATATTTTACATTCCAATTCTGTACTTTTCCATTTCTTTTCTTTTTTGACAACTGGAATGTGAATGATCTACAGAGAACTTTATTCATTTTGGTGTCGTGAATGTGAACCAGGCCATGCTTAACGTTAAAATATCAGTGGTGACACTTTGCTCAAGCGTGAGGAACAAAGCTAAAGCCAGACCTGATAAACTGAGCTGACAAAATCTGCATCAAACCCTGTTAAACACCTCCTGGCAAACCAGTCCTCTGATGTGAACAGGAACTCTGTTGTGATTTGCTCCTGTAGACCCTATGGTTCAGAATTCAGAGCCCTGTGAAGTGCTGGGTGTCAGTGAAAGCCATGTGGGAACTGAAATGTTCACCATTTCCCAGGGTGAGGCCTTTGCTTTGGTCCACATCTTGTGTGTTGTGTGATCTGATGGTGTTGAACCGACAGATTTCTTTCTCTTTCCCCTCATTCTGGAAACTCATTTATGTTAATTCCAAGTCTTGGTTATAGAAGTTTATTCTCTTCTAATGCAAATAAAGTAAAGCCATAATGCATGTTTTCCTCATAAGAAGATTAACATTTGGTTCACTTATGTTATCTTTTTGTGCTGGTTTGGTCTTGTTTCTGTAAGATGCGATAGCTATCTCTGTAACACCAGTATGTTTGACTTGCTGTAACCTGATGTACCATTTCTCTCCCCTTTTTTCTCCTTCCCTAAGATTATCGTTGGAGAAACTGCAGTGTTTTGTCTACAGTTAGCTACAAAGGATTTTGAAAACCAAGAGAAAACAATATTAACTGGAGACTGTTGTTATATAAATCCACTGGTGCGCAGGACCATCAGATTCCTTGGTATGAGCAAAACTAATGCTTTCCTTTTCTGAATGCTGACAGTGATCGGTTGTGTCGTAATTTTGACCCAGGGAGAATATTCACATAGCCATACACCATTTCATGTGTAGTCTTAACTCAGGTGCAGCGAGTTCTCTCCTTTTGGGTAGCAACTGAAGCTTCTTGGAAGTTGGGATAAAGACCAGTTGCAGAAGCAGCAGTAAAAAGAGAAGAAATTGGGATCACAAGGAGGAGTAACAACCAGCAGGCCCAGAGAAAGGAGATATCCTTGTGCCATAGCTATAGTTGATAGTTTTCTTTTGGTTATGCACACACATAGCAGACAAAGTTGAAGACATGGGGGTGTTTGAAGCACAGTTTAGGTACTTTCTGAGCCTAGAGATTATTTTACAGTCCCTAGTAGAAAACTGAACGAAGTCTGTGCTCCACTGAAGTTGGCTGTAACTCTCCCCTTGACCTTAGTATATATGTCATCCTTTCAACTTAGCTCATTGTAAATGTGTTCAGAGGGAGAAGTACTGCTGCTCCAAATGGCTGTTGAACATTCCCGGATGCTGCTTTTCAGTACGTGCAGGGCTGCCATAGCAGGGCTCACTGATGTTTGCTGATGGTTGTATCTAAGCAAAGCAGCTGGAGGAAGGAAGCCTTGGGGCATCTAATCCTCCTGCGTGCCCCAGTCGCAGGGGAAAGGAGGGGATGGGCAGCTGTGTCTGTATTTGCAGTGTTTGTGTAACAGCTGGGCCTGCCTTTGAGAGCCCATTGCTTGCTGGACTGCTAAAAGTCATTAAGAATCAGACTGTCTTGCATAGGTCCAGAGGAGGTGGGGGGTGATGATGAGGAGCTCCTCCTGCCCCATTTGTTCTGTGTGCAATCAGTGCCCTCGTTTCCTTCCCATTTGGTGGGCTCTCCTTGCTCACAGGAGTTAAAGCACTGTTGTACGAGATGAGGCATCACCACCCATTGCGCTCACACCAAGTGATGGATGTGGCCACCTATGGTGGGGCAGTGCACACCCTCAGGGCTTGCTGAAAGGGCCCTTCTGTGCAGCCACTTGGCCAGGCACAGTCCGCTGCTCACCAGTGTCAAGCAGCTCAAAGTGAATTAATGTAAGTGTGATGCTGCTGACCAGCCAGGATCTCGGAGCTCATCCACAGTCCACCCTCCCTTTGCTGAGGGAAACAACTGGCCTGTTAGAAACATGCATGTTTCTGTGGGATCATGTCTGCTGTGGTGTACCTCTTGGAAGAGCCCTCATGGTGCCCTGTGTAGTTGGGAATGGCCAGAATTTACAGTGAGTTGAAATATGGGAAAGGTAAAGTGATTTGCCCATGGAAATCCATGAGGAAATCTGTAGCTCAGGTGGGATTTGAGCACGGAGCTGCTGACTTTGCCTCCCAGTCAGGGTGCTGTGTTTGCATTTTGTTCTAGAGCTCATTTTCTGCTTCCAAAAGAGTAGGAAGGGACCTCATCTGTTTTCTTTTAAGTGATCAGATACATTCATTTCCATTCTAATGAATGACTACATGTGTTTAATGTCTTGCTGATAGGTCTCAGAAAACAAACCCTCTTTAGCATAAGTAGCTCCTCCGATATACAGATCTTTAGCTCGCTGTGTTGATCTTGTGATTAATATGCTCTGCATAGAGATGTACCCCGTAGCAGGCAAGATGAAGACAACTCATGCATGGCACTATTAAATTATTCAGTACTTCAGCTTCTTTACAGCTGCAGGGGAAGAGAAAATGATGTCCAGTCTGTGTTGTGACTTTTCAGGTTACTTCTCCATCGTGGCCTGGCTTCCTTGGTTCTCCAGCAGATTTATAGGGTGAAGAATTTGCCTCTGTCACTCTTGTTCAGTGAACATGGGTGAAAATTAGATACCAGTATAGCTAGCTATCCTGAACAAGGGAGATCCGTGCCTATGAGGCCTGGGGAAGCAGGCTGCTTGTACAAGAGCTGAGCATGCTCCTCTGAAGGGTGCAGAGACATCAGGTGTGTAGGTACATGCAGTGTGGTTGCTGTGGTTGTGAAGGTACATCTCCAACATGAGCCGGGATCTTTAGGGTATGGTACGTGTGAGGGGTTTTCGTGTTCTTAAATGGAGGGAGCTGGTCTTTACAATGATAAATCCTATAATATGTTGCCCTGGAGTGAAATTGTCACTAAATGTAACTCTTTGTTTCCCTCCTTAGGAATTTACGCATTTGGACTGTTTGCTACGGACATCTTTGTAAATGCTGGACAAGTAGTAACAGGGAATCTTGCACCACATTTTCTTGCACTTTGTAAACCCAACTATACAGCACTTGGATGTAAACAGTATACACAGTTCATCAGTAGCGTACATGCCTGTACTGGAAATCCAGACCTTATCATGAAAGCCAGAAAGACATTCCCATCCAAAGAAGCAGCACTAAGCGTATATGCAGCTATGTATCTGGCTGTAAGTATATTGTACTATTTAATATCACTGTATTTGTTGGGAGCAAACAGCTCACAGTGAGGGGAGGAGGGAGGAATGGGGAGAAGATGCAACAGCTGTTGGCTGATTTTATGTGTGCAAACCTGCTATGAGTTACTGTGAGGCCTTGGAGAACTTGATTCGTTGGACTTCATTCTGAGCATCACACACGTAGTGGTTCTCTGAGCTTTGAAAGCTAAGGCAATGCTGAGAGAGAGATAATTGTCCAAAAGGGGTGAGAGATTTAGGATAACCAGGTTTGTTGGGTGGTAAAGAATAAGGGTGAGGATTGCTTGTGACTGGTAGTTGTACCTCTCCAATTTTAAATCAGTACAGATTAGTAGAATTGCACATTCTTTGGTGGGGTAAAGCAGAAGAGTGGGTGTATGTAAGTGTCTGATCTCTGGAGGTTTCCCCAGATCCGTGTATGTCTCTGCATGCCAGAATTGGTATTTACAGGTACCTCAGTGCTCATGCAAAGTCCGTTTGGCTCTTATTCTGCAACGAGGCGGGCTACAAGACAATACAGCTCTTCTTCTCTCTGATACAGGGAGTGATGAGCAGGGATGGGATAGAAGGTGTTTACTAGCTGGTATTAGAAGTGGTTTAGAGGCTACTGAGAACTGTGGGGAGGCAGAGTGACTAATGAATCCCACAGAAGTAGCTCTGTGCCTGGCTCAGTTGGGAGTGCATGTCATTCTAGTCTTAGGCAGAAGCATGACTTGTTCTCAAGTAAACAGCACGTGCCTGTGGGAGTCTGTTCCCTGACCTGTGCTTCTCATTGTAGCCCTTTGGATGGGCTGAGGGCTGCCCTAATAGTGTCAGTGGGAAATGAGACAGTGCGTAACTCTGGCCAGCCTTATCCTCTCACTCAGTTCATAGAATCATGGACTGGTTTGGATTGGAAAGGAACTTAAGATCGTTCAGTTCCAACCCCCTGCCATGAGCAGGGACACCTCACACTAGAGCAGGTTGCTCCAAGCCCCTGTGTCCAACCTGGCCTTGAACACTGCCAGGGATGGGGCAGCCACAGCTTCTCTGGGCACCCTGTGCCAGCGCCTCAGCACCCTCACAGGGAAGAGCTTCTGCCTTAGATCTAACCTGAACTTCCCTTGTTTCAGTTTGAACCCATCACCCCTTGTCCTATCGCTACATTGGCCACCTCTCCAGTGTGTTCAGTTTCCTCTGGATCCCATCCCTTCCCTCCAGCGTCTTGACCGCACCACACGGCTCGGTGTCATTACAGACACCTTAATCCCACTGTCCACGTCTCCGACCAAGATGTTGACCAGGATTGTACAGTTATTGCATGATGAGCAGAAAGGTCACCACAAACAGCATTCCATGTTATTGCAACACAGAAGATGAACTACCAGAACAACACTGATGCCATCTTCAACCAGCTGGTTTTAATGTAAACCAGAACATAAACTGAGTATGTTATTCTGGATTACTGCAATAGTTGTTGCCTTTAAGGAAGGCTAATTGCTCTTCAAATTGGGTTGAAGAATTTAAATGTTACCTCATGCTCCTGTTTAGTCATCTTCCATATAGCTTTGTACCAGCTTTGGGATCTTTAGTGCCCTTTGGCCAGATGCTGAAAGGAGCAAAACTTGGAAGTAATTAGTTTTGAAATACTGCCTTTTTATTAACCCAACATGTATGAATTCTTTAGCCTGGCAGACAAGTCAGGATTTTAAACCAGAAAATATATGACCAGGAAAAAACCCCAAACATAACCACAAGCAAGATCCAAGTTTCTAGAGTGTGTATTTCTACCTCTGATTGTTCCAAACCCAGTTCTCTGATCCAAGTGTGGAGAAGCAATAAAGAGTAATAGGAGGAAATACAAAGCAGGAGATACAGAGAAGTCAAGGTTTTGTAGGTAATCACAAGAAGAACTTTTTATTGCTTTCACTCTTGGCAGGGTGGGAAGAGACAGAATGGTTCCTTGTTAACGTTTGAAAGGTTGGATGGGGCTTAGAGCAACCTGCTCTAGTGGAAGGTGTCCCTGCCCGTGGCAGGGGTTGGAACTGGATGAGCTTTAAGGTCCTTTCCAACCCAAGCCATTCTATGATTCTATATATGGATGTGTGCATATATATATGCATATATATATATGTGTGTGTGTGTTGCTTTTGAACATATATTTAATGAGCTGACTTTTAATTCCTGATCAATCTGGAAACTGATCCTTGGCAACATGGCAAAGATCCCAACCCCATCCACAGACTGCCAACTCCATGAACTTCTGAATATGGTCTTAGAACCACTTGCTTCAAATCTGCAGTACTGACAGTAACATTTACCAAAGGTTCCTTGTGAGCAATGTCTATTTAAGAGATTTGGATCTTGAGTTAATACAAGCAAGTGCTATCTGCAAATAAGAGATGAGCAATGAACTTCTAACTTGAGGCAAGTGTAAGACTCCTCATAGTATTGTCTTTATTTGGGGAGATATCTAAGGCTTTGCTTCACTGAAACATACCTCTAAATTTGGCAAAAACTATTTTAGACAATATCCAGCATTCTTCATTTTAGTTGCTCCTATTTTTCTCATCCATCTGTAAAGTTGGATTTCCACTGTTGCCATGAATCATAGTAACCGAAGGAAACCAACTGTTCAGCTACTGCAAAGCAGGAAGGAAAAGAGTATTAATGCATTTTAAAAATAAGAAGTAGGCATTATCTGTCAGTGGTAATCAATGCCTATAGTATCTACAGCTTTTGACATGAACAAGAGTATGCAAACCTTATGCTGTCTGTAGTCATTGTAGTTAGCAGCATCAACCATTAGAACTGTTGTGATCTGTCTCGTGACTTTATACACAACACTGTCATAATTTAACTAAAGCGCTAGAAACTGCTCTCAGGACTTATGAATTCTTATACGCTGCTTAATAACTGCTATTATGTATTAGCTGGGTTGTAGCCTGCAAAATAGGTCCTTGATGCAATATTGGCAGTCCTTAAGATTTTTAATCCGATTGCATGGTTGAAGCTAAAAATCAGGGAAGGAAGTTCCATGTTCCTATATTTGGGGTCATGTCCTTACACTGTCATTTTATCAGGATAGCTGGCCCTGAATAACAGCTTCCTCATCACTGTTCTCTTGAGTAGAAGTTTTAAAGAGTACCCTGCTCATTGTGTGAGCCGTGGTACAACAGTTACTGAGAGCACAGTCACATATTAGCTAGGATTTCATGAACATGGAATCTCTGGTACAAAATACATGTTCTTTTCGGTTAGCAGAAATGTTTGGAAGAGAGGGAGGGATTGTTCCCGAATCCTCCCTGGGCGTTTCAGCCAGCTGTGCACAAAACACCAGCTTAGAGCCATAAACAGGCAACAAGCTGATCTTGCTGGGAGTAAACAATGTCAGACTTATGTGTTTTCACTCATCAACCCATTTAGAAGCAAAGCCTATACTTTATCTACTAATTCCCCTATCTCGTTCCATCTAAGTGCAGCCAGGTCCTTATCTCCTGGCATCTGTGCACATTGTCTTGTTAACAATAAGCTCCTTTTTTTTCATCTAAGTTCTTGAGTCTTCCCCTTTTTCCCCCTCCCTCCTTTCAAGAGTGGGTGGCTGCTATGGTAACTCTGAATTCCTCTCTTGCTCAAAGTACAGCCTTTTGCCAACAATTGTATTCCTGTCTTCTTCAGGCTTTCAGGATTATTTTTCACAGGGTACCACAGTCTTCAAAATGAAATGTTTTAAATCTCTCCCAGAATGTCCAACTGGGCTGGATGCTACTTGGATTTCTCCTTAGGTGGCTGCCCAACTCATCTTAGGTCTTCTGTTTGCTCTGTTTTGCTTGAGTCGGGTTAATAACTTGAGTGCATCTGCTTTCATTTCCTCTCAGCATTGCAGTTCACCCTTTCTCAGCTGGAACAACATCTGCTAACATAGGTATTAAGGAAAATACTGCAAGTTTATAACATAGAATATAATTGGATGTGCCACACTTTGATAGACGTAAGCGGACACAGCCTGGACAGTTAGAGGTCTATTCTGAAGCAGCCAATTATGCACATACTTGTTTTTTTTCCACAACTGAGACATAGAAATGAGAAGTCATGAGTCTTTTTTTTTAGTGGGATTTCTAAAGTGATATATGAAGATTTAGTCACTCTATTCCCATGGATTGAATTACAAGACTTGCGACTAACAGCAGCCCTTTGTTGTTGCAGACCTAGGGGATTGCTACTTGGAGTTTAGGACAAATCTCAATTCATTCTATGAAATCTTGCTCTTTTGTTGTTTTATTCTTATTGCAATGGACAAGAGAAGTTGGCAGCCAACCTCTGTAGGCTGATGTTCGAACTCAGTGCTACTGCCTACATTTCAGTCCTGCTTTGGATTTGTAATGACAGAGGGGTAGGTTTAATGTCTTCATAATTGACATAGCCCTTAGCTCTGTAGCCTGCTTATGTGGCTTTGTAAATGTGAACCCTTTCTTCAGCTGCAGCCTCAGGCAGGGCTAGCAGGTAAAGCTGACATTTTCCTCACTGCAGAGCTCTTGTTGGGGCTGTGATCATCTTTCTGCAAGGTTCTAGCTCCTGGCATTCTGCTGTATCATATTTGCTGTTTACTGTGTTTATAGGTCACTGGGAAAAGACAGCAAGGCAGTGTGGGTCACAGTGCTGGCAGCCTGGTGGCATTCTGCTCCCTGTCACTCCTTCATCCAGCCTTGTCTCACCTCTCCTTCATCTTGAAGTGCCTGTTTGGGCAGCTGGTGGAGAGGCATGACAGGCCTTTCTTTGATAAGCTTTAGGGAGTGTTCAGGAGGAAAAGGAGCAGCAGAGGCACCTTATTGTAGAGTCAGCTTTGTTGTCCATTTCCTTCAATTTCCAGGAAATTGAAGAATTAACGGATTCTCTTGGCTGCTTTTCAGGGGCAGTGTTAGGAATGGGGAATTTCTTTGCAGTGTCTGCCACAGCAAATGAAAGTGTCCCTCGACACTGCTTGTACAGCATATATCATGGGCTTCATGTATTGGATGTATTAGTTACTTGCCAGCTGGATAGTAAACTAACATTGCAGGGATTTATCTAAAGACATTGGGGTATTCCCTGTCAGTCAATTCTTCATTACAATTCAGTTTTGCTCAAGATAATGACCTCTGGAGACTGAATTAGCTTTAATTAGTATTTGGATGTATCTTACAGTCCTGGTACATTGAAGGATGCTTCTTTCCTTCTCCAGTTGTTTAGAGTTACAGCTGTGGGGAACTCCTAGTGGGAAACTTTATAGTAAGGTCCAGCATTTATAGAGCTTTCTTTTCCCTTTGCCAACCCTGACATTGAAAGCACATCATAAAAGCAAAACAAAACACGACAGACCTTATATTTGTAGCGCTGCCGGGGATAGGTGCCTGGACCGTGATTCCTTCCTCTTCCTGCTTGTGGCTTCATGAGTCACTGTTCTCTGCCCACTAATGGACTGGTCTGTCTCTTTGACAGTCCCCCAGACCATCTGCTTCAGGGAGGACTGAAATAGCAAGCACAGAGGGCATCTTTGTACCTGCATCCCTGGGCTCCAGGCTGTTGGAATCAGCTAGGAAAACTAACCTCCCTCCTGACTGGGGCAGCCAGCCTGACAACTAGCACTGCTCTAACTAGAACAGGGCTCTGGGACCTGTTACTTGTGTGTTTGTGGGCACAGGCATTTGTGTTGGTGAGCATACTTGACATACACGTCCTGTTCTCCTCTTAACAAGTTTTGGAATGATTTTGGTTGCACTAGGTTTAGGACATACTTCATGTGAGTCAGACGTGCAACATGACGCTTCGAGAAGCTTTCCCACTACAAGCTAAATTCCAACACTACGATTATTCCTTAAATTGTGACCTGAGACAGTCATGTCAGCAGCCTCAAGTTAAGGGTAGCTTTATCTTCGGGGTGCTGGTGGTGATTCTGACTCTTTCAAATACCTGTTTTCAAACACACTTCCAGTAAAATTGTTCTTTCGGTTTATGAGGTTCTCTGAAGATTTCACTTTCCATCACCTTGAGGATTGAAGGACAAATGTGTTTTCCTGAAAATCCAGTTAATATTGGTATATAGATGATCTTAAGGTCTTTCCAACCCTAACCATTCTGACTCTATGCCCCTATAGACAGATCAGATAACATGCACCTCCTTACATGGCTCTCTGCCACTGTCTGCTTGCTGTTATCACCTTTTATATCTATTCATACTAAAATCTTACTTCAGGAAGAAGGAAAAGCAATAGCAGAAGTTCGTCAAGAGAAGCTTCACCACTGACCTGATGTCACAGGACAATGTGCAGACTGCAAAATCAATTCCAACTACTGTATCGATCCTTGACTTTACATACAAAATCTCTGCTGTTGGTCTTGCGTTGGCTAATTCCAACAATTTCTTTGATTAGATTCTTCCTCTCCCAGTTTCTGTCCTTAAAAGGAACTGAGACAGATTTGTAAAGATGGACATGTAATGATGGACTTGTAACAATGGACTTGCCATTCCTTCTCACTCATATTTTAAATCACTGAGCTACTTTCTTTTGTTGATACTGCATTTAATATTTATGAAAAGTAAGAGAGGAAAAATGCTGTCATCTTTCAAGATGTTTCTTTGCCGTCAGTTACTGATTGTGCTGGTTTATAGCTTTCCTTCCAGCATCAAGAAGAAAATAGCTGCTTACTTATATTTTATTCTTAGTGCAAATCAGATCTTTGAATGAATTGACAGTGTTAATGTATTGTACTAGAGCTGCAAGGGGTGAAGTTTAAGAATAGACATCTATGAATCCTGCCTTGGAAAAGTCTGCATTTGCTGTGTAGAGTTTTGCAAATGTACAGAATTTTCACTTTCAGGAAAAGTTTACCCTGTTTCTATTGATTCTTTAATAATATCTTAATTTAATACTATTATTACTGTCAGTGGTGTCTGTTCTTTGAAGAAAAGAACTGAGACAGGGGAAGTTCAGGTTAGATCTAAGGCAGAAGCTCTTCCCTGTGAGGGTGCTGAGGCGCTGGCACAGGGTGCCCAGAGAAGCTGTGGCTGCCCCATCCCTGGCAGTGTTCAAGGCCAGGTTGGACACAGGGGCTTGGAGCAACCTGCTCTAGTGTGAGGTGTCCCTGCCCATGGCAGGGGGTTGGAACTGAATGAGCTTTAAGGTCTCTTCCAACCCAAACCATTCTGTGTTTCTATAAAAGAAATGTTACCTGTGCTGACAGAACTCCCAGGTTATTTTCAGTAGTGGGTTGGGCAAGACAATCTAGACTGCACATATAGGAAGGGAGTCAGCAAATGGAGGTCTTTACTACTCATATGAGGCACAGCCTAAGTCTGCTGTTGTTTCTGCTCACTCAGTGCTTTGAGTAGGCATTTGAGAGACGTGATTGACAGTAAAAAGATCGTGAGGATTTTCTGCAGAGCACTTTCCAGGTTAGCTTTGAATGAGAACTGCTGAAGTTTGGCTGGATTACTGCAGAATCAGTGCTTCACACACATCTGGTTTGACTTCATGAGAACTGAGATCATCTTCTTGGGTGATGAGCAGTTGTTAGAGATAACTGAAATGCATCACTGAGGCCACTTAAAGTGTCAGCCTCCCCAAACTGGATTTGAAACTGGGTCGTCTTGCTGCATATTCAGGATATTAGACTATTTTCCCTAGCACCAGATGTTCTAGGAGGTTGTGTGAATGTGAATAATAGTGGTAGTATCCAGGGATACAAGGAGACTCACTAAAATAGAGGGTTGCTGAGTAACTTGGTGTTCACTGCTCTGTGCCACGTAGAAAACCAGCTGCAGTTCTCTTACCAGCGTTCCACATGATAAGAGTAACTTACTGAGGACAGCCTGAGAAAATATGAGGAGCTAAGATAAAAGGATAGTCAGTGAATGGAGAAATGCTGTTTCTGAAATACTCTAGGAAGAACAGAGGAGCTGTGGCTTGGACACCCACCCCAAAACTCACCCCCAGCCCCAGCTTTGCTCTGTCTGCATTAGTTGAAAGCTTGCTGCTAGTTCGCTGACTATCACGTAAGGTGCATTGAAGGTGTTTGTATTGCAGTAGTGGGTGATTATAAGCTAAAGCTGTGATTTTAAGCTTAAGCATTGATTTGTCCTCTAAAACATGGAGCTTCTGAACAAAAATTGCTGTCAGACGTTACTTCTTTCAGACAGCTTCCTGCCTCCTTCGCTTAGTTTATGATAACTGTAACCATGCTTCCCAGACTTCTTCTTGACTGGATTATTGCAGCACCTCATAATTCATTACCCAGGAAATGCAGCTGCGTTTCGGACAGTACAGAAAAAGAAAGCATTGGCCGTTTGTTGGCCCAAAAGGTACTGATTCTTCATTGCAGATTTATAGAATCATAGAATAGTTAGGGTTGGAAAGGACCTTAAGATCATCCAGTTCCAACCCCCCTGCCATGGGCAGGGACACCCTGTACTAAACCATGCCACCCAAGGCACTCCGTATCTGTTTCCCTTTGCAGTTCAAAGGCACAGCATTCCACACTTGGGAGCATCCAGTGAAACTCCAGAGAAAATATTTACATTCTTCGATCTAAAAACTTCAACTCTGTGAAGGTTTTAGGGATTTCAGGGGTCTAATTGCAGAAACATCTTTTTTTTTCCCTCAAAATCTTGTTAGTTGAAGTATAATTCATCAAAGGGGGCAACTTTCAAGCAGTCGTAATGCCAAGATAGAAGAAAATGGAAATTAAAGATTTGGTTTTCATGCGTGTTCAGCCTGGAGAAGAGAAGCTGCGTGGAGATCTCAGAGCAGCTTCCAGTGTCTGAAGGGGGCTCCAAGGATGCTGGAGAGGGACTCATCATTAGGGACTGTAGTGACAGGACAAGGGGTGATGGGTTCAAACTGAAACAGGGCAAGCTCAGGTTAGATCTAAGGCAGAAGCTCTTCCCTGTGAGGGTGCTGAGGCGCTGGCACAGGGTGCCCAGAGAAGCTGTGGCTGCCCCATCCCTGGCAGTGTTCAAGGCCAGGCTGGACACAGGGGCTTGGAGCAACCTGCTCTAGTGTGGGGTGTCCCTGCCCATGGCAGGGGGCTGGAACTGCATGAGCTTTAAGGTTTTTTCCAAGTCAAACCAGTCTGGGATTCTATGATTTCTTCCATTGGCCCATCAGAGCTTGGAAAGTGCTGGCTAGTAGTCACTAATGCACCCTTAGGGCAGAAGAGCTGCTCTGTCATCAGGCAGTGCTTTTAGTTCAGGAGTATTGCACAGGGAGAGTTAGAGTGCAGGCAGGGCACATTGATTTCTCAGTTTGATGCATAAAAGTTTCTGCCTATAGATTGGGTTGTGTGCCGGGAGGGACTGGTACTAAACATCCTCATCGCCATCTGTGAAGCACAGGGCTCTATTGGTTCAGTGCTGGTTGGAGCTATTACATGTTATTTATAAAAGCAGATGCTGGCATTTAGCTCCATTTTCACTGCTCTTTGACAGATCTCTATTAATCACTTGAAGAAGTTGTATATGAGGAAGAAAGGCATTTCCTAATGATAACAAGGCCTTGACATAGCCACTTTCAGGGTAGTTTGCTATTATTGTCAACACTGTGCCATGAAAAATCAGTCACTTTACCTCTCTTCATAAATAAATACAAAGATTGAGAGTAATAGCTTAGGATTGACTCATTTGCCTGTTCTTTTGGGGGCTTTTTAGATTCACATGAAATGTAATTTTGCTGTTATGATCTAATTCTTGTTCTATATCCCTCAGGAAAGGGCGTGATGTTAGTGCTTGATTTCTTGTTTCTTTACCAAAAGAAAAGATAAATACAAACAGTGTATTCAAACAAAATACAGAGTTTTTATTCACCACTTAGTGGGAGCTATCGATCAGGCGTTATAATGTCTTCCTTTCTAATTTTCAGATGTATATCACCAACACAGTAAAAGCCAGAGGAACAAGGCTTGCAAAACCTGTTCTGTGTTTGGGCTTGATGTGCATGGCTTTCCTTACTGGAATCAACAGAGTAGCAGAGTATCGAAATCACTGGTCAGATGTAATAGCAGGATTTGTTATCGGAATATCTATAGCAGTATTTTTGGTAAGTGTGTATCTGTGTCACTTCTGTGTGAAAACAGTCCGTGCATAGCTTTGTATCTCTTAAAACTGGGGGCCTTGGCGGAAGAGGGTTTTCTGGTTCTCGTTTTTAATGTCTTAACCAGTTTCCTCAGTTATATTTGCCCCAACTCGGGAATGTGAAGAAAGGACTGATCCAGTGAGCTTTTTGTTCACTTCCTTACAAACCAGATTGTAGCATTTCCATCAAGCTCCACTTTAAAAAACTGCAGATCCTCCAGAAGAACCTCTAGTTATGATTTCATGTATGAAGTATGAATTTCAGTACAGCGATACCTACACTGATCAGGGAATAAGCAATCAGTGAAGGTCTCTACACTGGATATAAGACAGGCAATTCTAGCGATAAGATAAGCATTTCTTTTCTGGCTTTAAAGTAAGCCTGTTGAATTTCTTTCATACTAATTCAGGTTTACATTGACCTTTTATGTTATTTTGTATCAGAAAAATCCTTGTTTAGCCTTTTCCTGTTCTGGAACGGTGTTCCAAAAGCAGATTGTTAGTCACAGTTCCCAATGACTAGGATCTGTGTCAGAAAGCTGCTGCTAATCTATAAATGATCTTCCCTGATAACTTCACTGCGAGGCTATTGCACAGAATAGTCACTGCTGTTCCCTGCCTGCAGGTTTGTCTGCCTGGCAGCTTGGAATAGTCATAAATACACCTTTGATTTTTCCCCATAAAAACACCTTTGAGCTTGACTCTGGGATCTCAAGGTCTTGATCTTAAGATCTTGGATCTGAAGACTTGGCTTGGCTGAGAACTCTCACCAGGATGGCTGAAGTGGGTGTTAGCTCCTCTGAGAAATGTGAGGGCGGCTTTAGGTATCCTTTAAAGTAGATCTGCTCGCACTTCCAAACGTTCACTTCCATAGAAGGTATCCAGGAGTTATATCTGGTTGTTCACTTTTAAGTTTTTCCTTTCTGTTTGTGCCCCTGAAGTCAGAAAAAACCCTAAAAATCTGTCCCAGAGTATTTTCTCACAGTCTCTGATGTATATTGCATTAGTCCCTGAGTAGCATCCAATTTACTTGAGTTTTGAGGAAAACCAAATGTGCAAACATTGCTGCTTAGATGAGTGTCTGAATTAATAGAAACACTAACAAACTGGTCTAGATCACATTCTGATATTCCTGTGTGAGAGGGACCGCTGCCCTAAGAAAGTTTACAGCTTAGCTCAAACTTAGAGATGGTCTTTGTCTTCTTATTCTCCTTTCTCACTCTCCATTTGAGAAGGTCTTTGCTGGACAAAACTTAGATGGTACTTGGCCCTTCATAGGAATTTAAGTTCATATTCTGCTGCACACACTCTGGACATCTATTCATGATATTGTTCATGATTGCTATTATTCAGCTTTGGTAATAGATTTGCTTTTAGATAAGATGGGTTTTTGGTTCTCAGATGATGCACATAACACTGAATTGGTTGGAAATCTTTTGTCTTGAAATGTTAATTCAGGATTTTCTGTAAACCATGAACTTCCCATTTCTGTGTTTCTACTGTGACGAAAGCTGGTGTCAGTTCTGCCTAGTTACGGATGTCAGGATCAAAGCTTCAAGAAATGAGTTGTTCCTTAGCTATTCTATTTATCTTCTAATCCCTTCTAGGTTGTTTGTGTGGTAAATAACTTCAGAGGACGTCAGCCAGAACATGAACATTCTCATATGGATAATCTGGCCCAGATGCCCACGATCAGCATACCCCGAGTAGAAAGCCCTTTAGAAAAGGTAATGTCTGACTTACTTAAAAACAATGATATAAAATGTAGCTTTCCTGGAAGGATGGCCCCAAACTATCTTGACAAGAGAGTTAATCAGAGTTCAAGTAAGGAGCCATGGCCGTGAAGGAGAAAGAAGGGAAAAATTAATTCAGAGGCATTCCTTGCGGGACTTTTCATGTCACCTTCAAGAACAGTCACTACATACCAGTCCAGTTTGCTGCTGTAGCCACAGCTAAGTTAGTGGAGTCAGGCTTAACAGATCTGAGGCCCTGTTTCCTTGTGTTCCTCAGGTGAGTTTGATTAATGCTTTGGCTGAGAGTCCACAGAGCTTGAAATACTTAGAGGAAAATTGAGCCCCTGAGCCCAAGGGGTTGTGCAATTCAGGTGTGAGTGGCATTTATCCTGTTTCTTCAGGATATGTCCTCATGGTCGTGCAGGGAACTTATGGGGCTGTGGTTCTTTTCTCATGCTAGCCTCAGGACAGGGCATCCACCTTGTGATGTGGGGGATCTGACATCTGCTCTAGCAGGGCAAACAATGTAGTGAATAATAATAGGGAGTGATAATAGGGGCATACAGTGACTGCACAGAAGCCATGGTCTCCAGCCAAGGCAAATGGGATTTTGGACTAGGACGTGTTAGTGGTAGCCTCCTGTGTACGCCAGGAATTTTTGCATGAGTATTGTGGTGTGTTAAAAATCTGGTTTCCTATAATAAAAGTTTATGATCTTGAAGATGTTAGTGGTAAGACAAGGGGTGATGGGTTCCAACTGAAACAGGGGAAGTTCAGGTTAGATCTAAGGCAGAAGCTCTTCCCTGTGAAGGTGATGAGGTGTTGGCACAGGGTGCCCAAGTAAGTGATAAATGCTTCATCCCTGGCAGTGTTCAAGGCCAGGTTGGAAGGAGCTTTGGGTGACAATGGTCTGGTGTGAGGTGTCCCTGCCCATGGCAGGGGGTGGAAATGGATGATCTTAAGGTCCTTTCCAACCCCAACCTTAACTATGATTCTATGGTGTTGTACTATGCAATTGTTAGGTAAGATTGTCTGAACAATTTCATGAACCAACAAGCACTGAAATAGCATAACCAAATAAAACATTTTAGGCATTTTTACTAGGGGAGTGTTTGAGCTGCTAAAATAAAGCTTGAAAGCAATTCTTCATTTTCCAATGACTGTATTTGTCATTATTTCTTACAATCTCTTCTGTTATGCCCATGTTTGAAGATAGTAAACAATTCTACACTGGGTTGGGCACTGAAAGTATGTTTCTGTGGCATTCTTTCCAATCCAAATTATTCCTAATATTTTATTAATATTAAACATATGTTTAATATGAATAAAAATGTTTAATATGAATAAATTTTCTTTTTAACCATTTCCATTCTGTCTTAGTCACTGGAAGTGGTGGAAGTTGTCCTTCAGTAAGCAGTGCTGCTAGCTCTTGAGTTTCTTTTCCCTTTCCTTGAAGGGAAAGAAGGTTTCTTTGCAGAATGATCTAATGTGCTTTTTGAACCAGATGTGTCTAAGCTCCTTCTGCTGATACCTTGTCATAAGGAGGTCAGAGTCTCATTTGCTTGAACAAGCATTTAGAAGATGAATGTGTATCTTCCAAATCACCCATTCAGTAAGCTTTCTGTAACATGTCAAAACAAAACAAGCTGTCAGTTGGACTAGGACATACCGCATTAAGAAGAGCATGTCTTATTTACGTGCTAGGCTCTCCTGCAATAGCAGCCGTTTCTGAGGCTCAAAAGCCAGCAGAAGTAATAGATGTACATTCTCTTGCTGTTTAATTGTATTTTTGGGAGGATTGGCATACAGACCTTGCATTAACTTAGTATTTCTACCTAATTTGATGCGGTTTTGCTCATGGTGAGCAAGATCTTTTCCTGAGCCTTTGCCTAGGCAAGATTGAGGCATTGTGAGGAAACCTATGGGTGTGGGAAGGTGGTGCAGGAATAGTGCTTGGTCTGCTTGAGGATGATGGCTGTTCAGCCTGAAGAAAAGAAGCTGCGTGGAGACCCCAGAGCAGCTTCCAGTGTCTGAAGGGGGCTCCAAGGATGCTGGAGAGGGACTCTTCGTCAGGGACTGTAGCGATAGGACAAGGGGTGATGGGTTCACACTGAAACAGGGGAAGTTCAGGTTAGATCTAAGGCAGAAGCTCTTCCCTGTGAGGGTGCTGAGGCGCTGGCACAGGGTGCCCAGAGAAGCTGTGGCTGCCCCATCCATGGCAGTGTTCAAGGCCAGGTTGGACACAGGGGCTTGGAGCAGCCTGCTCTAGTGTGAGGTGTCCCTGCTCATGGCAGGGGGTTGAAACTGGATGAGCTGAAGGTCCTTTTCAAGTCAAACCACTCTGGGATTCTATGATTTGTGAACTGCCCAGGAACTCCATTATGTGAATGAGCTTCTTTCCTTCCAAACATATATTCCTGTGGCAGCAGAGGGTAGCTGTTGGCTGCCATGGAACTTTTCTGTGTAGAATTAAAGTGGGGGCTATCATCAGGGTGTTGCACTTGGTGAGATCTCAGTGTTAGGGGTTCATCTTTTTTCCATATTGCAAAGCCTTTCTCCTTTCCAAATAGAGAGAGTGAGATGGGAAGTTGATAGCATGGAGACTTTGCTGGTTGTTGGAAAATGCTTTCTGCTGTTTCCACTCTCAGAAATCAGCACATAACTGATGAAAAGGTTACTTGATGTGAGTGATTCGGGTGTTGAGGCTTTGTGGAATGTTTCCTTTTCCCCCAGTGCTGCTTCTAAAGTTTTAGATAGAAGCCAGACCCTGTTAAATAAAAGGCACTAAGAATAACACTTATGTAGGCCTAAGGTCTAAATGGAGCCATCTCCATTAACTACCATCACTACGAGAGTTATTAACTTAGTCTTTACTTTTTTAGCTTCCTTCTTTTTTTACATCCTTTTTTCTCCTCTGGAGAGAGAAGGGTGCTAAATAATTCATGTGCTACTTGCCTTTGCTGACTTTAGCCGTGTGGAAGTTACTTTTCACTACATTTCAGTTAGGGCTGTTCCAGTTCCGTATTCTGAATGCACATACATTTACATTTGGCTTACTGAAGCTCTTGTTTTTTCTTACTCTCAGCCTGCAAGTTCCTGTGCCAGTATCAAAGGCAGCTTTCTGTCAGAAATCAGCTACTAAGAGTAGCACAGATCCTGACTGACGGAAGTTATCATGTGCAAAGCAGTGCTAGCATGAGGCAATACAGCTCTTATTGGTATTTAATAACCATATGGGCATCTGGGAGCAAGCAAGTCAAAGATGCTGCCTTAATGAAAGACTTCATTAGATACCAGATGGGACCTCACTCATTGCAGTTTTGTAATAAGTTCACCTGTAAATGAATATAAACACATGGTACCTCACACAGACCTGGAAGCGCCTTACTGTTGTGTTGCTAGATCTGATACTTGCTATTCCAGTGCTTCTTCCTGCTGGAAAATGAATGCTCTTGGCATGCTTGTCATGCTGACCGTGCTGCCACTGTCTGAGTTCTGGTGGAGGTCAAGAGCTACATTTGAAGTGCACTGAAATAGGAATAAGTGTACTTGTAATATTTTGAATTGAGCTGCTGCTGGCTGATGACATGGGTAGATCACTGTTTGCATGACACTTGTCTTTAATTGTGGTGCATGCAGATGATGAAGCTGTTCTGCATGGGTACCCGCTTCTCATGCACTCAAGCCATAGTTACAGAGTGTCTCCTTGAAGAAGCCTTGCCAGAGCTGGCTCAGCAAGGCAGACGCATTCAGAATTAATGAAAAGAATGAAAGCCAAGCAGCCTCATCACTCATCCATCTGCTCCTTTTTCTCCTTTGTCTCTGACCTTCTTAATCTCTTATAAGCCAACTTGTGTTTCAGTTAGCTGGTGTCCTACGAAGCGGAGGCGCTCTTGTTACCTCAGTCAAGGTTAGAGACTCCTGTTCTTTTGCAAGAGTTACTGGGAAATATGGATATTCTGGGTGGTTCCTGGAAGAGGTGAAACTTCAGCTTCATCCAGTGCAGTCGTAACCTGTTTTTTCTGGGTTTTGTTCCAGGGCAGACTGACATTAGTTCATACTGAAGTCACTTGAAGTTAGCCAGGGGTTACAGAGGGCTCATGCACATCTTGTCATAGCTGCTGACTCTCTTAGCCTTTGGGTTTTTTGTTTTTAAATACTCTAGCTTTGAAAAAATCAAATACAAAGGGAATATGGAGCTGTTTAGGACCGGTTGAGGCAGTAGGTGGAATACTGGGGTGAGAGGTTGGGTTAGGAGGGGCACTATGGTTCTTCTCCTGTAGGGTGATGGCACATTACTGTGTCTGATCATCAGTGCTTTCTGTAGCTGCTCAGTATTACTTACTTGCACAGTTGGGCTCTTCGCAGTGTTCTGTTTGACAGCTAAGCTGCGTTTATCCCCAGAGTCTCTGCTTGGCATTCCTTCTAAGTGCTGCTTCTCTCAGCAGTGCCCAAACCGCATTCCCAAACACACTCACTGTTCCTTGTTACAATGAGGTGTCTTACACTGCACCTATAGCACTGACTCCAGGATCACTGTGAACTAGAAGCAGAAGACAGTTTAGGTGCTCTCTCTATGTTTTTTTCCATGTCTCTCTCAACCATTTCCAACTTCTAATGATGGTAAGCATTTGGAATTCCTCATATGACATTCTTATTGCCTATCATAGCAATTGCTAGTGACTGTCAGGGTTGGCTTGTTGAGTTTGACACTATAATCCATGTTTTACTGTGCACATGCCAAAGGCAACAGTGGTGATAAAACATTTTAACAATACGAGGTATCAATATTGCAATGGATTCTGGTAATATTTTATGACTGGTGAAGCTTTACCCTTCTGTTTTTAAGGTACAATGTTTTTTCCATTTACTCCATCTCGATTATGCATAAGACACAGAACAATTTCATCACAGTGTCAGAAAAGGGTATTTTTAACTTAAATCTCAGTGTTGCCTGCTTTTTCCTTGGTCTTAACCAGTTTGGTACTAAGTCTTTCACTGGTATGCGCACGTGTGTACACACAGTGGGACCTCTTTAGTCCAGTCTGGTCCCTGGGGCTCTTCATGAGCTCACAGCCTAAAAGCAAAACACAAAAGATGTTTTAGCTCTTCATACTGTGGGCAAATGGGGGAGAGGTGTTGTGTCTGTTTCTGTTGCTTCAAAATAGTTGAGAAGCATCTAAATACTGTTGTATGTATATAGGTATCCATGCAGTGGTATAGTGCATGTATGTGTATCCTCAGGACTGCTTGGCTAGCATCTGTGTGCTTGTAAGCAGGCTTCTGTTGTCATAATGGTTCTCTCTTGAGAATAAGTCTGTTAAAGGAGATACAGTACAGCATTGTTTCACACACAGAAACACATACCCAGGAGAGGCAGCTCAGAAAAGACCATAAGCAATTTTGTTTTGTTGTCAAGCGTTTGAAATTGCATTCATGTCTTACACTTCTGCTTAAATCTGCTTATGTGGGATTGTACAAGAATTACTTCTGTTTGAATGCAAACTGTGGTCACCACATCTAATGTTCAAATGGAAAAAAACATAGAAAATGGAACGATATATTTAGTGTGACATCCTCAAATGTACATGTTGTAGGTATTACAGAATCAAGGCATTAGTAACAATCAAGAAGATCCTTTGCAACGAAATCCCCTCAAAGCACGCATCCTTAAGTTCTTCTCCTGGATATCAGGAATGGACCATTTTGAACATCTTCATATAAGGCAATAAACGTATGAGTGTGTGTGTGGAATTGAAGCAGAGGCAGTTGCGGTGTGGGGCAGCATTCAGTGCAGGTCTGCCACCTTTTAAATGGGGAATTTCACTGGAACTCATTCTCTTCCCTAAAAATGTGATTTGTCCACTAAAATTATCAAATATACTTTGTTGACACAGAGAATTTTATAACATGATTATTGTCCTATGATAAATTAGCATTTAAGATCTTATCAGAAGATGTACAGGTCTGGATCATTAACCCCCAGAAACCTGCACTGAAGGCTTAGCCTTTAGCTTTCCTTTTTAATGATGGTGATGTGAGAGCATGGCTTTGAAGCATGTTTTGTTCACATGGGTGCTGACTCCAAGCTGATCCTGTCCATTTGCTATATTATTTCTCATTCATTGTCGTGGTTTATTAAAGCTGGAGTGCCTGGAAACTGCTGCCATTGAGCAAATCCTCAGCACAGCCCAATTCTTTCGAATACTATAAGGAAAATAATTTTTGACGGAGTTGGAGCAGCTGAGGTCTTGTGCATGGGGTTTGTTGCTTGTCCCCTGCATCTGTGTGAATCTGCTGATGCTGGTTCCTCTCTCACACTGAACTTTGCCACAGTAAATCCAAGCAGAAGCAAAATAGCATAGTAAGAGAGGTGAAATGCAGTTGTTACTCAAGGGGGATGGTGTTAGTTTGAGGTTTTGCCTGTGAAGAGTCTCAGCAAAGCTTAGTTGTAGCTTTGCTGGAGGTAACAGCTGCAAAAAAGCACCATTTTCAGACAGTTGCATGACTCTGTAACAGTGATTCTTGCCATTAGCAACTGATTAATTCTGACCTACTTATGCATTGCCCTGCTGAGTCCATTGGAAATGAATTGACAAGTGTTCACAAGGGTCCAAATTAATAGCTCTATGAGCAGCAGCTTAAGCAGTTCTTCCTGGGGGTTATTGAGCTTTATTGTGGTGTTATAGCCCATGCTCTGCATGTCCTTCCAAGGATGGCGTCCTGCTTATTTTGGAAGTATAGCTGGCAGGAGTATGCACCACATTCTCCTTTCCTAAGTAATAGTTATCTAGTCCTGCATTAATGCTACATGAAGGAGCATTTGGTTCACTGCATCACAGACAAATGTGTGTTGTTTAAAGAGCATGCAGCAGGGCATGCAAGAATTGGTTCGAATAAATAAGGAGGACTTCTTATTCCTCCAGTTCCTCATTTGTAAACCATCTTATTTATCAGCACAGTGGCTACTTTTAGACTGATGCTGGTTTAAGCTGACAGGAGGATTTTCAGGTCTAAATAAGGAGAAAAAGAAAGTAAATACTATGAAGAAAACATCCTAATAGCCTCAGAGGCACTCTGGAGGCATTGAGGTTGACCAATGTGTCGTCTTCCCTGTACTGAAAGCGGAAGATGGCCAGCCAGCTAAAATGCTTTGAAATGTGAATGGTTTGGTTTCTAGTTAGGAAATCTAATTTTGCTTTTCTTCTGCAGAATCAAAACCTGGAAACAATGACGTTTGTCACCACTGCAACCATTTGAACTGAAAGTCTTTTATCTGGTGCTTTTTGATGAGTCTGCTAGCTGTGGTTTAATCATAAGGATTCATTTAGAATACATTAATTCTCTCTTGGAGAAGAATGTACGTAGATGTTTGCTATTTAGTAGTGTTCTCTTAGGACAGGTGACAGAAAATACCCAGACAGGTTGAAGAAGAACTGAGAAATAGAAACGTGTGTGGTGGCTGCTGCTTCTCCCCAGCATTTTCTATGAGGAGTGATAAGGGATTTTCTGAAGGACTTTGAACAACTGCCCTTAAGTAAAAAAGGGAGATCTTTCCCACTCCCCCTGGGTTATCTACATCCCCCCTCATCTTCACCTTACGCTTCCTCTTTTCTGACTTTGGTCAGCTCCAGGAGGGGAGGTGATGACAGAAATCAGTGTTTTGCATGGTATTATTTCCCTGTGTGTGTTTTTGTGCTGGGAAACAAACACATGTCTTAACATCAAGATTCCATTGATTCATTTCATCCATTGCATGTTTAATCAAAGATGGTGGCAGTCAAGGTCACTGTGTGCCTAACCGAAATACCTAGTTCTTATGGATCCTGCATGTCACTGGACGGTTGAATCTTCACCTACCAAATGTTTGCAGAGGCACTTGGCTTAGGTTAGAGCATGGCAAATAGCACAGGATGCTGCACCTTTGCTGTGTAGCTGCTCGTAGTATATTGCACATTCTTTGTGTTCGTAAGAATTGTCCAGTTGAAGGAAAGAGGAGAGAACCACGTTGCAAAGGAAGAGGACACTGTAGTGATTCTGGAATAGGAATTTTGAGTATGAGTCCTCAATGGCTTAATGCAATAGGACAAGGGGTGATGGATTCACACTGAGACAGGGGAGGTTCAGGTTAGATCTAAGCAGAAGCTCTTCCCTGTGAGGGTGCTGAGGCGCTGGCACAGGGTGCCCAGAGAAGCTGTGGCTGCCCCATCCCTGGCAGTGTTCAAGGCCAGGCTGGACACAGGGGCTTGGCGCAACCTTCTCTACTGGAAGGTGTCCCTGCCTGTGGCAGGGGGTTTGGAACTGGGTAGTCTCAAGGTCTCTTCCAACCCAAACCAGTCTGGGGTGCCATGATTTTATTAATACTGGAATAGAATATTATAATCTGTCAGAACCTGTCATTTTAATTTCTAGGGATTTTGCTATAAATGGTGACTAAGGTAGCAGTACAAGTCCAGCCAACTCTGTTATTCATATTGTTACTTAATTTAAAAAGAAAGCTATCTAAAATTAAAATCCTGTAGAACCATTGCACCCAATGACTTTGTTGAGCACACTTCCCTAGCCAGCCTTTCAACAGTTAACAAAGAGCTGCAGTGGGACGGAGTGAGAGTATGTAGTGAGAACCAGTTTAATTTCCATCCTCCTGTAATAGTTCTGAAGCATAAAGCTGTCCCTGAAGAGGTAAAAGGATTGTCACAATGGCAACTGCTGCCTGCCTGTGGGATTACTGGGGCTTATCTCTTTGTTTCTTCTTTAACCCGTAGAACCACATCACGGCCTTTGCAGAAGTTACATGATGTTGATGCTGAGGTCTATTCCCTCCATTGGACTTCATCTCTTTTCACAGCCCACCCACGATAATTGCGGTGTTACCCAAAACCAGAAGTTTTTAGAAGTCCTGTCTCTGACTTGGTTTCTCCATTATTCAAACAATACCGGCATCTCGAAGAGGTCTGAAATCTCAGAGCGTCATTTTACTTCCTAGCAAAAAGATGAACTGTTTACTTTGGGATGGGACAACCTGAGCACTAATTCTCTTTTGGCTTCTCATTGTTTTTAATGTACCTATTCCAGCAGCACTTCATGTTTTGGTTTGACTTTGGTTTTTCAACTCTACATTTTTAATTCAGCATGAACTTGTTTCCATTTGAGGCGATTTCAGTGTATAAACTAGACAGATATTATGTTCTGTATGAAAATGCTGTTTGCACATTGTATTCCACTGTATTCCATGTAAGATATCATTCCAACAGTATGTTATATGTAAGACTGGTGCTTCTGCTTTTGAAGAAAAAAAGAAAAATTGCCAATTTTTACTGTAGTAAGTATTGTATCATAATTAAAAGTTTATTTATTTGGATATTTTCCTGACATAATTGTAGTTGAATTGTTGTTTTGTAGTTCTTGAATGTCTTGGGTGGTATATATGTATCTAGGTTAAAAGAAATGACAATAATATAGGAAGTTTGATCATTGATATCTATTTTATTACTAATTCTAGCCCATGAAAGGTTAAGGGCTCCATTCTTAGCTCAGCGTATCTGACGGGATAAAAAATTTCAACAAACGATCAAGGAAGGCTGCATCTTCTCGTATCTGTTGTACACCCTGATACTGTGCTGGGATAATGGGTATTAAGATGAGTGTCACTGGCTTAGTGAGAAGCATGCAGATGAGTTTCTGTTCTCCATTTTCCTGTTGGAGAAGTCATGGAAAAACCAAACTGGCTTCGTTCATTTCCTTCAGCCTCAGTGGCCAGGACAGGCAGATTTTCTCTCTATAAATCTTTCTATCTCTGTTTGTGTTTCAGGGCCAGATTCTTGCAAAACCATCCTGTCGGTCTGTGCAATTGGTTTTTCTTCCAATTCAGGCAATGCTGTTAGATCTCTGTTCTGGTTGTGAATAAGCAAATTGAGCCTTCCCTCCAAAAGACAGCCTTGCTTGACTATTCATAGTGAAGTTGTCCTAGAAAACTGGAGCACCAAATGGATCTGAATATTGTAGATGCTGAAGATGCTCTCAACATCTTCCAGGAAGTTTTCCAACAGCTGGTACAGTGCGGGCACTTGGAGACACATTGAGAACAGGAATGTTCAGTGCAGGCTCTTGGGTATTCTAGGCCTTAAATTTTCCATAAGGCAGTGTATTTCCTGGGCATTCCTTATTGTTAGAAGATGTTTGCAGCATAAGGCTGTAGAATCAGGTATAGATTTTTTTATGATGGATTTTAATGCGTTCCCACATAGTCATCCAGGTAAGACTTGCTTTTTGAATTCTTCTTTGAACCTCTGCTTTCATGAAAATGCAGCTACCTAAATAGTGCTTGGCAAACAGAGCAAGGCCAAGTCACCTTTGAGTGCAATAGAGCGTTATCTCACAAAGTCATTGTGCTGAGCTGAGAATTAGAGAAGGAAGGAGCACATCAGTGGTGAGAAAAGTCCTAGAATAGAGCCCTTAGCTACAACAGTGTTACTTAGGTGATTGAGACCCTACCTTTATTAGACTATCAACTGTGTTTACACAATTGTAGTAGGTCCAAAGTTTGTAGCACCACGTTAGGCGCACTTACCCTTCTCTTAGTCTAGCTATTTAGGGTCCAAGGTACTAATGATTTCTCCATGTGCAGATTTAAATGAAATCTTCACTCATTTTTGCATGGTAGTAAACCTGCATTTTTTTAGATCTGATTTATAAGATTACCAAGAGATTCTTTTATGTTAAAAGAGATGACTCTTTTTTCAGTGTACTGTATATCATCAGCTTGTAACTGGTCTCTTTCTCAGGATCTTTCCCAGTCAAATATTTGGGTTCAATTTATCATATGATCTCTGTGAACCAGCAGTGAGAAAACAAAATGAGAGACACTCTGCTGTATAATGTATTTTTAAATAAAATAATTTTTCATTCCTATGTAGTGGGTGGGGGTGTTTTTTGAGATCTCTGCTCTAGAATCGTTTTGGTTCTAGTGCACAGGGAATGGTTCTTGTCAGCTGCTTCTGTTTTCACAATTAACCAGGAATCCCCACAGTTCACTCCCTTCCCTTAGAGGTGGTTCTGCTGGAACTGAAAAGCAGGAGAGGAAGAGCTGTGTTGCAGAAACATCCACAGACTGTTGGTGAAGGACTCTCCCCACCACGGACCAGCCAAGCTCAGACCCTACTTTGGTGTTCAGAAGTGGCAAGAACTCACCTCTCCACTGCTCTGGCACTCGGGCCATCTCTTTTCCATTCTGGACCCAAAAAAGCTTTTGGTAGGAGCAGTTTGCCAAAGCAAAGGTAAGTTGGCATTTTCTGACTGCAGTGGCTTTTTAGTGGTTGCATTTAAAAACCGCATCAGTAAGGAGCCTATGGCAAACAAGCATTATCCCTCCTTCAGGGAATATTCTGGTGCAGAGTGGTTCCTGATCAAAGCACTGCAGTGGAATCACGTCACTGGGTTTGGATGCAGCTGGTTTTGTGCTCCTTGTGGACCTTTTCTGTGCATTCTTCAGTGAAACAGCTCCACTCTATAAATGAGATGGTTAAGAAGTATCTCTAATGCTATGTGCTGCTGTGTCCCTAAAAATGGAATTCATAAGGCATATGGGGACACCAGCTGGGCTCGTATCCCTACCATTTCAGATTCCCTTATATGAATGCTGCTGTTTGTTCGTAATCAGGAATTGCATAAAACATACGGTGCTAGCATCTGGGCTCACATCTCTTCAGCTTTGAAAACGTTCATTTTAACAATATGTATTAAAAGAGGATAATGTGGGCATTTTTCAGCTGCAGTTTTCTTTGCTGCTGCCTTCTAATTCTGTTGCTGTCCAAGATCACAGTGAGTGCGACAGTCCTTTTGCACATTCTTTAGCAGGCAGCTTTTTATACTCTTCTGAAGTCTAATTTGGGTATTTCTGAGGCTTGCCACACAGGAAATGGTGCACTGCATTTTAGAAACAGATCATAGTCTGGTTTTGATCATCTCCATCCCTGGCCATCTGCATAGCCTTGGCCTTGGGGACACATGGGAGCATTTGCAGGCAGAAGGGCTGAGCAGACCTCCAGACCTCTTGGTCCTGCAGCGCCTCCCTCCAGGCACAGCAAGAGCATTGTCACCAAGAGCTGCCTCTGAAGACTGATTTGACACCAACAGACCAGACTTTCCTGCTGTACGCCAGCACTTTTCACTTAGATAAGTGGAAAGCCAAATGGAGGGGGACCTGTCGTGGGTTCAGCTTTTCACATCCTCCTCTTTCTAGGCCTTTTGGTTTTCAGGGACGTCCACAAAGGAAGGGAAAGCTTCACAGTCTTTCTGCCCACTTGAACCACTGCTGCATGCTTAGGGTTGTGTAAGGTTTACTCTTGCTATTAACTTTCCACTGAAGCACAGTGTTGCCTTTTTGCCATCTCCTGTGTGAGGGTGGCTGAAAATAGGATTTTCAGGCTTGACCTGATGTTTTGGGAAGAGGACACTGTCAGCACCCCAGAAATACCCCTGTGGGGGTGTGAATTGGAGGCCTTAGTGTGCCTGTGTGATAAGCCCCATTGTTTCCTCAGCACTTGCTGAGTTGCCAAGCCAGGGTACAACTCTTAGGTTTACTCTTGATACTAAACTGCCCAGATTTGCTTCATCATGAAGCCCCAGTCAACTTTAACAGAGAGGATTAGGTACTTGGTTCCCTACTCAATACTGGAGCTTGTTCTTTCTCTGTAGAGATTCCTAGGAAGTGCACCATGTCCTGTAAGGAACCTGACATGAGGCATAAGGGGAGAGCGGCTGTGTTCAACAGCAGACCTTTACATGTCTTCAGCTCTTGGTCTGTTCTCACTAGCTGTGCAAAGCATTTGGAAGTAAGTTATTGTAAATTGAATTAAGACAATTTAATTCCAAATCCAAGTATACACCCAAGAGGTTTTATATGATTCTAACTAATCCACAGCAAATCTCTAGCTAATTCACATAAACCGTCCTGAATTGTCCCTTGTGTGGACAAGTCGTAAGCCTTTTCCCAGAAGAGCTCTGCTGTTGTAGTACCTTCCCCTAGTGACCACAGCCAGAACAGCATGTAGAGACAGCTCCCTGGAGTGAGAACATCAGCAGAATCATCAGCTCGACATTATCTCCCTACCAGTGGGCCGGGTGCAGAGGACTCCTCCTGTGCTCTCAAAGTGATTAGCAATGGGCACGATGCTAATCTCCACCTGGAACATTACTGAATCCATCCTCTAAGGTGTGAGCTTCATTAGAAGCCCCAGTAAAGAGTTTAGCCCCCAAACCCCATTTCTTGGCACTAGTGCTCTCATCTGACAATGTTCAGATCTAAATAAATACAAATAAGAAACCAAGCCTTTTCTTCCTCACAAGTCTATCCCTAAATACCAGTGTTCTACCTAAATCCATACTCTGCAGCTACAGGGAGCTTGTAGCCTTGCTGCCAATCTTTAATGTGGTTCTGAATTCTTACAACTCCACGAGGTTTTGAGGTTTTGAGGTTTCCCCCACAGATGAGCACTTTTACGTGTCATGAAATAACTAGTATCGAAAATTAAAGGGGGGACTTTAGTGGTGGCCTTGGCAGTCCCAGGGTAAAGGTTGGACTTGATGATCTTAAAGGTCTTTTCCAGCCTAGCTGATTCTGTGATTCTGTGATTCTATGAATGTGAGATCCTTGAGTTGTGAACTCCTGAGATTGCTCTGAAGCCAGCAAATAACCCTAAAAAGAGAGAGTGAAGATGTCTTCCACTGTAAAAGAGAAACTAGAGATGCACATAGAGAAGAGGCTGAATTTCAGAAGCAGGAAAAATGCCTTCTTACGCTTGGCAGCAAATGTGCCAGTTTGAGGTGGATTTGCTCTGTTGGTCTAACGTGAAATAGCAATACTTTAGTGAATGGCATTTCTGCATCTTTGGAATACTGCAGGAGAAGAGAACTGCTGTCTCTGCTAAGAAATCATCTGCTGTTCCATCCTCTTTACCTACTGTTGCTTAAGGAAGCAGCTACTGTGCCTTCCTTAGCAACCTCTATTTATACAGTAGCAACTGACAGCTTAAAGATATGCTATTCAAATAGTCTAAAAATAGGTCTGATGTGACGAGGATGAAGTGCTTATTTAGGAAAACAAAAGAAAAGCCCCTTTGGCTTTCGCTGAAGATGGGGGACTTGAAGCTAATCCTAATAGGAAACACCAGGAGCAAAACAAGACCTTTGCCTTCTGGCAAGACTTGCATTATTGTCAAGGCAAGGTGCTAGATCCTTTTGGAGATTAATACCTCTTTTCTTTCTTCTGAAACATTACAAGGATGCAGCTTGGAGCGTCTGGTCCTCCAGAGAGAAACAGAGAATGCCCTTGGTTTTGTATTCTATTGATTCTGTGGATTCACACTCAAAGACAGTGGACACCAATGCAGAAGAGGGGGAACAGAAAGAATAAACAAACTCTATCTTGTCAATGGAGGTTGGGAGCTTTCCCACACGGAGTCTATTTGGGAATGACACCAAGTGATGAGGGACTTGATGTCAGCTGAGTGCGTGACAGAATTACATCATCCTGGGTGTCCAGTGGGAATGTTGCCTGCTTATAATGTATATGTTTTAGTCAATTGCCATTTTGCTTACGGGAGCAGATAACTGTGAGATATTTGCTCTTTGGTTCTTTGTCAGATTAAGGCAAGTCGATACTCACATGGCACTGGACCCGATGCTGCTGGTTTTAATTTGCTGCCTGTTGACCTGCCACCCCTGCACATTTAAGGTAAAAGGCTGTATTCTGCATTTTTTTATTAATAAGCCATTTTTTCTTCAGGAATCTGGTGATCCGCATGGAGAGGTTAAGGAAATCTCCCCCACAGATGGGATTTCTTCTGGAAATTGGGATTGTAAACTCACTTCTACCTCGATACCGCTATAAACCTGAAACCAGAAGCTTCTAAACCTGAAAGTTTTAAAGCAACTAGAAGCTGAGGGGAAGAGCCACCTCTACAGGCTCAATGGAAGAGCCAGCTTCTGCATGTCTTGAGCACTGTGGTGGGAGATACCATATGGGTTTGGTCTCCTACAAGGCTCTTTATGACCTGCTTGGTCTCATGTGTGCAATGTGGTTTTCAAATGTACTGCTCACTTCACTATGGTTGTGGTTTCAGCTGGGAAAAAGATTGGTGAGAAGCATAGATGTTAACACAACAGAGAGCAGTACCAAAGCTTCCCTCTTCATCCTCACTGGCATTTAGTATACCTAGATAGCCTTTTTTACATGAGTCTGTGTTCTGTCCTCTCTTTTCCACTCTACTTCTGGCATTTGGCTTTCCCATTAGATGTTACATATTGCTGTGTCACACTGTGTAATAACCAACAGATGCAGTTGGACTTAGGCCTTTGCCAACATAAAATGGATTTTTCAGGTGCACAAAGTAGAAAAAATGTGGGGAGGTACCAGTTATTTTAATGGGAGAAGAACAACAGCAGAATATGAGATTGTTCCAGAAAAAACAGTGTGCAATAGAGCAGCAAATCGGGATTGCTCAAAAAAGGACTAGGTACTGCTCTTTTCCCTCCTTGTGGGAGTCAGGGGACTTGTTCCAGATTCAAACAGGAGACATAGTGGAGGGTGGGAAGGGTGGGTTTGTATCTTGCTGTCGTTTACAAATCAGACTGTATGTTTGCTAATTCTCTCAAATAGAATCATAGAATCAACTAGATTGGAAAAGACCTTTAAGATCATCAAGTCATACATGTGGTACTTTGGAGCAGGACTCTAGACAGGAGAAAATGGCCCTTTCCAAAGCACGCTTCTTGTGTGGAGCTACTCAAAGAAAATCACCAATAAAGATGTATGGGAGACAACAGGAAAATCCCAATCATGATCACTTCCCTTCAGCCACCTTGCGTCCTGCTTTGAGCGGTCCCCTCTCTAAAACTCACACCCAACCCTG